GTGTATGACAGTGCATCTTGGGCGATCTCAACAGTTAACTGGAATGCACACGCAGTTCACTGTACCCTATTTATGGGCTGGCGGAGATTGTTCGACCAGGTGTTGGGTCCACCTGAGGGGTTACTCATCTGACATTTCCTCTCGCTCCAGCGTGTTCCCGACTGGAGGCTGTTCAGTTGACCGGCCAAAAACATGGGGACATGCTGAGTCCAGCTCCCTTCTTCCCTACCAGCCTGGCGCAAGAGTCTAGGGACTTTTCTACCAACGGACTACAAGAGCGATCATGATTTTATAATCTTCGACATAGGACACCAAATAAGTTATTTTGGACGCAGTCATTCACACAAATAAGTGAGGTTCTCCCTACTTCATCACAGCTGCCTTCGGGCGGTCTTCGAAGTAATGTGTGTAACGTTGCGTCTGTTCCCAGTTGAGCATTTATCGGGCGCCTGGGAACTCACTTTTGTAAACGTCAGTCTTAGTGTTCTTATTGGGTCCGCGAAGTGGCTACTTACCTTAGATCAGGTTTTGAGCCGCTTCGTCATCCTCTTCAGACCGATCCTAATTTCGTCGAATTATAGGTACCAGTACGCTATGTGCAGTCGTTTGAATTACACATTACAGCCTGTGACTTTTGTGTGTCTGTGGTTGAGGTTTGTACACAATTTATCCTTTACTATTTTTGCTTAATAGTACCGTATTACCTCGATAGTTATTGTCGCTGGTTTTTGACGTACGCGTGGCTGCTGGATACTGTCGGAGAAGTCAAGAGACGAAACAGCATGTTTCATCTGTGATGAGAATTTTCGGTAATCTCGATATGCACTTACTGGAACAAATCTCTTCCAGAGACGCTTTTTTCACCCCTCCTCGCTTAAAGATATGCCCTTGGTGCATCCAACTCTTCATGTCACGTTTGTAAGTAGTGCGTGATAGAGTGGTTCCAGCAACGTAGACGTATTATTTACTTGTAATCGAAAGTGCGACAAACACCACTTGTCACAAGCGAATTGTACTCTATATGGCTTGTCGAAAAGTGTCCACTGCTGTTGTAGTTTACAAACTATGCCTACTGAACATTGTTTCCCAGATGTTGTGGTCGGTGCTTACTCTTGCACTAGCGTCTCCAAAGGTCGTAAGTTTAACCTAATTTGCCACAGGCACCATGGAAAGATGCTGTTTCTGGTAGATCTAGACACAGTTTAATGAAGCTACAGGTAGGATTCCAATGTAGGCGATAAACGAAAAAACACCAGCCTTTAAGTCTGTGCTTTAAAGCGACCTTCATGCCATCAGATTTACTGCCCCCCCC